CTAAAGCTCCTGTCATCGATTGTGTAAAGGCTGGCTATTTCAAGGTAATTTTGAAGTATTTTTTCATGTGCCTTCATCCTTCCTTCTTGGCGCTCCTACTTCAATCCGAGTAGAAGTGTATGTAATGGGAGGTAGATCATGCCCTATGGGTGTTCGGGTCTCCTTCGGTGCTATTCTTACAAAACTTCGGATAGTATCATCCTCTGGATTCGAGACATCGCATCTTCAACTATTTTTCGTTTTTTCAAACGTTCAAACATTACACCTGCATCTTTTCAAGTGTATTCTCGGCGATATAAAAGTTTTGGTTTGTAGGTTCTTGGAAAAGGTCTGCTACCGAAACAACCACTGATCGTGAAGGCCAAGTACTTCTCTCATGAAGCTGAAGACAAGATCAAAGCAGCAGGAGGAGCTTGTATTTTGGTGGCATAAGCTGCCGTTGTTGATTTTGTATTTTTTAAACAAAGTCATTTTAAAGTTTGTGTCTTTGTTCTTCATTGTGTTGAGAAGGTGCCTTACCTTGCCCATATTTCGTTTATTTATCTTTCTTTTTGATATTTCTTTGAGTAGATTTTCGTTTTAATTTCCTTGTGGATAATGCTGTGTGTTTCACAGAGACTCGCAGCTTTTTTATTTCAGCCTCTGAGCGCTTGTCCTCTGTGGAGCTAAGGCATTTGCAACTTGCACTCGGAATGGCTTTAAATCAGGAAATGGCTTGCGTTTACGCTGCTCTCATCCTTCAGGATGATGAGGTTGCAATTACTGGAGACAAAATTGCTACTCTTCTCAAAGCCGCCAATGTTGACTTCGAGCCGTTCTGGCCCGGACTCTTCGCTAAGGCTGTCGAAGGAGTTGATGTGAAGGTGGGTTATCGAATTGTCATCTTAGTGAACCTTCCTTCTTGGCGCTCCTATTGTTTTGAAGATAGAAGTGTATGTTATGGAAGGGAAATAATATCCCTTATGGGTGTTCGGATCTCCTTCGGTGCCGTTTAAATTTTCTTATCGAACGGTATCATCCTCTGGATTCGAGACATTGCTAACACATTCCTTGTGTGTAGCTGGAAACCCTCAAAAGTTGCTTTCTTTCCAGAACCTCATCACGTCGGTGTCTTCTGGAGTCGGTGCTGGAGGTGGAGCTGCAGCACCCGCCGGAGGCGCTCCAGCTGCCGCTGCCCCTGCTGCAGCTGCTCCAGCAGCCGAGACAAAGAAGAAGGAAGAGCCCAAGGAGGAGTCCGACGACGACATGGGATTCGGCCTTTTCGATTGAGTCTGTTGTTGGTTGTTATTGATAAATTTGTTGTTTTCCAATGGTTTTTAGATATACATCAATCTGAAATTGAATTCATTTATTGGTAATTTATT